TGTAATTATTCCAGTGGCAATAACTGGTGAGAACTGAGGAGCCATTCCCAAACAGCGACTTAAACCACAATTTGTTGTTATCCCTCACAGTTTTGGGGGTTGGTGGGTCTCATCCGGGTGGTTGCAGCCAGCTGGAAGTGGGGGCGATGACCTCATCGGACAACTCAGCTGGCGGGAGGTCCAAGATGGCGCAGTCATACGGCGGCTGTTGACAATGGGCGTTCATGGCTGCACTGGCTGGGTGGGCGTCTCAGAGCACAGCCACTGGGCTCCAAGGAGAGCATCCTGGGAGAAGATTCCCAGAGGCTATGGTGGAAGCCATAAGAGTTTGGAGGACCCAGTCTTGGGTGTCCTACAATATCATTTGACTGCATTCTTTCCATCAAGTGCGTAACTAAATTGGGGAGGGGGTTAATCTCCACTTTTCCATGTGAAAGACAGCCAAGAATTTGAAGCCATCTTTTTGTTTGTTTGGTGGTTTTGGTTTTGGTTTTTGGTTTTGGTTCTGAGACAGGGTCTCTCTCTGTCACCCAGGCTGGAGTGCAGGGGTGCAATCACAGCTCACTGTAGCCTTGAACTCCTGATCTCAAGCAATCCTCCTGCCTCAGCCTCCCAAGTAGCTGGGACTACAGGTGTGCACCACCACACCCAGATAATTTTTTGCCCATCTTATGGTGCTAATTTAAAAAAAAAATTTTTTTTTGAGAGGGAGTGTCACTCTCGTCGCCCAGGCTAAGGGGCAGTGGTGTGATCTCAGCTCACCACAACCTCTGCCTCCCCAGTTCAAGCTAGTCTCTGCCTCAGCCTCCCAAGTAGCTGGGATTACAGGCGCCTGCCATCACGCCCGGCTACTTTTTGTATTTTTAGTAGAGACAGGGTTTCACCATCTTAGCCAGACTGGCCTTGAACTCCTGATCTCATGATCCACCCACCTCGGCCTCCCAAAATGCTGGGATTACAGGTGGGGAGCCACCACACCCAGCCCGAGAAGTTTTAAATTTTTAGTAGAGATGGGGTCTCACTATGTTGCCCAGGCTGGTCTTGAACTCCTGGGCTCAAGTGCTCCTATCTTGGCCTCCCAAAGTGCTGGGATTCCAGCATGAGCCATAGAGCCCAACAGCCACCTTTGATACACCAGATTTCAGCGGTGGGGTTGTGATGCATGGATGGCTGAAGGGGGCTCCCTCCACCTGAGCACAGACCCTCACTGGAGGATTTGGGCTCATGGAGATGCCCAGACAGTGTCTTCCCCAGGTCACTGCTGCAGTGAGATGCAGACAGAGCCAGAGGAGAGATGTTCCTGGAGAATCAGGAGGGCAGGAGCCTGTCAGAAGAATGAAAGGCTGGTCGGTGAGATGTAGAAACCCTCACGCTGATGGTGTCTGGATGTGGTCACACAGGTGTCCATGGAGACTCCGGGGGGCCATCTTCAGGCGGAGATGCCACCCTACCATCCCTTCAGTTCCACGGTGACGTCAGGGCACGAAGAGCCTTGTGCTGGAATGCCCTTCAGATAACCGAGCAGGCCATGGGCTCCCACCTCAGACAGGCAGCAGAGTCTAACCAAACAGAAACATGGGCCTGGAGGTGCCCACAAAGCTCTGAAATAAAAGCCCCAGCACAGCCCTACGTGAAGCCTTCAATTTTGCCCCATGAGGCCATGCCCAGGGATGGTCTCTCCTCTGCACATGGGCAGGCGTGCCCTCTGGATCCTGTCCTCTGCACATGGGCAGGCGTGCCCTCTGGATCCTGTCCTCTGCACATGGGCAGGCGTGCCCTCTGGATCCTCTCCTCTGCACATGGGTGGGCATGCCCTCTGCATCCTGTCCTCTGCACGTGGGCAGCCGTGCCCTCTGGATCCTCTCCTCTGCACACGGGTGGGCGTGCACTCTGGATCCTCTCCTCTGCACGCGGGCGGGTGTGCCCTCTGGATCCTGTCCTCTGCACATGGGCAGGTGTGCCCTCTGGATCCTTTCCTCTGCACATGGGTGGGCATGACCTCTGCATCCTGTCCTCTGCACGTGGGCAGCCGTGCCCTCTGGATCCTGTCCTCTGCACAAAGGTGGGCGTGCACTCTGGATCCTCTCCTCTGCACACGGGTGGGCGTGCACTCTGGATCCTCTCCTCTGCACTCGGGCGGGCGTGCCCTCTGGATCTGTCCTTTGCACATGGGCAAGTGTGCCCTCTGGATCCTCTCCTCTGCACACGGGTGGACGTGCCTTCTGGATCCTTTCCTCTGCACGCAGGCAGGCATGCCCTCTAGATCCTCTCCTCTGCACACGGGTGGACGTGCCCTCTGGATCCTCTCCTCTGCACGTGTGGCGGGCATGCCCTCTGGATCCTCTCCTCTGCACACGGGTGGACGTGCCCGCTGGATCCTCTCCTCTGCACGTGGGCAGGCGTGCCCTCTGGATCCTCTCCTCTGCAGACGGGTGGGCAGGCGTGTCCTCTGGATCCTCTCCTCTGCACGCAGGCAGTCATGCCCTCTGGATCCTTCCTCTGCACACGGGCAGGCGTGCACTCTGGCATCACAGCTGGGCTCACTCCCCTCTTGGGGCCCCGCCAGAGCCTCCTTCTACGCTGACCAGAATCATCACGTGGGTTGCCCATGGTTTCTTCCTTTCCCTCCTCCTTTTCTCCTTTTGAAGAAGCGTCCCCTACTCTACAGACCGGAAATACTGCCTGAGAATCGTTCCCCAGCAGGGACCCCTTCGTGAATATTCGTACAGCCTGCCATATGTTTCGGTCAGAGACAAGAATCATTCATTCTTCACACAACGAGCATTCCAGGATATGGAGAGGGAAGTGACTCAGGTTTTGGGATCCCAAATCCACCACGTGGAGTTCCGTGAAGGTGGCTGCCCCATCGAGACCTGCCTTGGTACTGCTTCCAGGACCGCAGAAATTTCCCGGTGCCTCCAACGCCCCAGCCAGCCTGGCTGCCTCCGGCCTCTGCCATTTCTCCTGCTCTGCCCCAGCCTTCCAGATCTTTCTTTACAGGAGTGCCACATTGGGAAGCACATGGGATGAGGGGCAGGAGAGACCCTGAATGTGGCCCTCAGGGAAGGGTAGTGAGGATTTGGTGCAGGGGCCAAGTCTGGGTCTCCAGAGAAATGCACATTTTCTTCCCACAGGAACTGTGCCACCCTGACTCGAGCATTTCCCGATGGCAGGTACAGAGTTGCGGCGTGTGCTTAGGGAGTGTTCAAGCATAAGATTCTGCTTGCCCTTGAGGGCCAGAGACGTGGGAAACATGTCAGACACACAGGAGCACACGTGGTTCTGCAGAGCTGGGCAGGTCACCACATGGCCTGGATGGGTCACCCATTCCTGCCCGGGGCCACTTGGGGAGGGGATTCCTCAGGGAAGCCACGGCCTAGGCACAGGCTCTGGGGGATGGACGTGCTGCCGGCTCTGGGGTTCCGGTCCAGGTTCCTCCAGCATTACTCCATAGAGAGCTTCAGATAACAGGGCAGGCCAGAGTGCAGATAACCACGGTGCACAGGTGATGCAGGGTGGGCGGGCACGGAAGTGGGCCTTAGCCTGTGAGAGTTCTTGGCTTTGCCCGGAAAGGATTCAAGGACCAGCAGGAGGTGGAATAAACAGCTTTACTGAGGCGGCCGTATTTGGTGTTACAGCTCCGAGCTGTTCCTCCTAGGCTATGCGCTGAGGGTAGTGACTTTGGCAGTCCCACTGATACCCACTTTTAATTACATGCACATAAAGGGGTGCATTATACAGAGATCTCTGGTTATGGGTGGAAATTTTTGGGGTCATAGGCTCCTTGCCATGGAAAGGGGCGGGAGCTCCCAGGCATTGCCAAGGCAACAGTAAACTGCCACGGAGGGCTGGTGGGTGTGGCTTGGGGAGAGCTGCTTGCACCCTGGCCCTGTTTTAGCCAGTACTCAATTAGGTGCAGTGTCCAAGCCCCACCTCTGGAGTCCAGTCCCACCTGCTAGCTCACAGGCACAGAGTCCCTCACCAGCACCTGGAATGGGAGTTCATATGCACATTCCTGCTCTGTCCCCACGACAGCTGCTCAGCCCACCCAACAGTCTGGATGAAGCCACCGTGGACTGCAGCTCCAGCATGTCTCAGGGGCTCCATGGAGCCACCTGTTGCCCGCCCGTGATGGGGCTGTGGTGTGAGACGGCAAAAATGACTCACACTTATCCAGGTAGAGAAGCTGCCACCGTCTTTTTAAAATTAAACTTTTAATTTTGCCATCATCATAGATTTGTGTGTCGTTGGTAGAAATAATACAGAGAAATCCTGCGTACCCTAAATGTATGCAGTGCCCCCAACAGTGACCCGCTAGGTACACACGGCGCCACGCCACAGCCAGGACACGGACGCAGTGCCATCCCCAACGCCACTCCCTTCCTCAGCTCTACCCGCCCTTGCACGCCCTGTGTGCAGGTTTCAGGCAGGTTTTTTGTTTTGCTTTTCGAGACAGAGTCTCACTCTGTCACCCAGGCTAGAGTGCAATGGTACAATCTCGGCTCACTGCAACCTCCACCTCCCGGGTTCAAGCAATTCTCCTGCCTCAGCCTCCCAAGTAGCTGAGCTTACAGGCACCCACCACCACACTCGGCTCATTTTTGTATTTTCAGTAAGACAGGGTTTCACTGTGTTGGCCAGGCTGGTCTCGAACTCCTGACCTCAGGTGATCCACCCGCCTCAGCCTCCCAGGGTGCGGGGATTACAGCCACGGGCCACTGAGCCTGGCCAGTTTCACGCAGTTTTATCACACATGCAGATCAGGCACCAGCCACCTTTCTAAGAAGGGAGCCTTTCGATGCTTGAGGATGGGGAGGAACCTCGGTGGCAAGAGTGTGAGGCCACGGCCCACCCACCCCGTGGAGGCCCCAGACAAGCATGTGGTCACAGAGCGGCATTGACTGCAGAGGAAGGGTGAGGCAGGAGTGGAAGAGGAGCAGGTAGGACGCACCCCCACCCAAGTGCACACACACAGCACCCGCATGGGAAGCGTGTCTCACCTCCGTGATGATGTAAAAGTCATCCCCAGGCTCTCCCTGGACCACGATTTTCTCTCCATCTTCAAACTGGACAGGCTCCAGTGCATCAGCCACAGTCAGGCGCTCCCACTTCTCCAGGGACTCTGTCGGGGGAGGACAGGTCATCCCGGGGTCCACACCTCCCTGGCCACAGTCCAAGACAAAAGCAACCACTCTTTCCGAAAGACAGCCTCTGAAGCACCCATAACACCAGCTCCGTGACCAGCAAACTGCGTAAAATGAGGCCGTGATACCGGCCCCCAGCACCTCTGTGCCAGGGGGCCTGGGTTTTCTTGCAATCAGCGGGTCCCAGACCCATGTGGCTCATGTGCCCTCTTTAGCAGATGCGGAAGGAGCTCTTCTGACGCTTATCCCTGGCTTAATGTAAACACCTGGCAGTGAAAACTGACTCCAGGTTAACTCAGTATGAAAATACTTCTGTTATCTTCATAAGAATAGAGTTGCTTACATTTTTACAAACAATGGAGTCCCAGCTAAGCACAAAGGCTACTAAATGATTTAAAATAATTCAGAGGCCAGGCACAATTGGCTCAGGCCTGTAATCCCAAGACTTTGGGAGGCCAAGACTTTGGGAGGCTGAGGCAGGATGATCGATCACTTAAGTGCAGGAGTTCAAGACCAGCCTGGCTAATACAATGGGAGCCCATTTCTACCAAAAATGTTTTAAATTAGCCAGGCATGGTGGTATGTATCTGTAGTCCCAGCTACTCAGGATGCTAAGGTAGGAGGATCACTTGAGGCCAGGAGTTCAAGACCAGCCTGGGCAACATAGTGAGATCTCATCTTCACAAAAATTTAAAAATCAGACATCTGTGGTGGCGAACACCTGTGGGCCCAGCTCCTTAGGAGGCTGGGGCAAAAGGATCACTTGAGCTCAGGAGGTCAAGGCTGCAGTGAGCTATGATCACATCACTACACTTCAGCCTGGGAGACAGAGCAAAACCCTGTTTCAAAAAAAAAAAAAATACATGAATAACATAAAATAATTCAGAATGGTAACTTCCAACTCAAAAGAAACACCGTTCATCAGGGGACCGATCAAAGAACACAGGACTGCATTTATGTTGCAAGATTAAGGCGCAGCATACTTCCTACTCTTTTAGGTCAAAATGCTTAATTCTCATGCCAAGTTTATCTTTAAATGATTGCAAATTCAGTGTATCTTTCCACCCTTCTCATGTCTTCCCTTCCCTGTCTTTACTCATCCCTAACCCTTGGAAGGAAAAAAAAATTACTAATGTGAGATATTATAAGAAAATAATGATCACCTGATTAACTCTTTTTTGACAAAAAAAAAAAAATCTTTCCTGGCCTATACAAATCAGATGCTACCTATGTAGGTCAGAAGCTAAAAATAAAAAGCAAAGCATTTATTTTAGATCTAGGTTAGGAGTGAGATTTTTCTCCTTAAAAATCCCTGCTGACACCACGTGTTGCAAAGGAAAATGCTTCCCGTGAACCCCAGGGCCGGGGCAGATTCTGCAGCACAGGGAAGGAGGGTGAGGCCCCCATAACCAGAGTCGCTTGACCAGCTTCCTAAAAACAGGGTCTGTACCAGACAGAAGCTGCTGAATAATTCAGAACCCGGGCGTGCTCCCAACCAGGTCAATGCATCAGTGCACGCCTCACAACTAAATTATGCAGGTGATTTTTTAGTGCAATTATGGCTGGCATTCAGGGTGTAGAATGAGACCAGCACATGAATTTGGAGTGTTTTATTGGTTTCCTTACAAGGGCAGTAAATAGAGGGATTTCATTTCAGAAGTCAGCTACAGTTAGGACGTTCATTTCCACACATGTGATCAGCCAAATGCTTATTACTCTATTATATTTGAAACCTGTAGTAGTCTGAGCTCTGAAAACAAAAATGATCTTCCAACTACATAAATCTTGGAAGAAAACTGACAGAAGAAATCATGGGGAGATGGCACTTTTGGTCCCAATTTTTTTTAAGAGACAGTGTCTTGCTCTGTCACCCAGGCTGGACAGCAGTGGCATGATCACAGCTCACTGCAGCCTTGAACTCCTGGACTCAAGCGATCCTCCCACCTCAGCCTCCCAAAGTGCTGGAATTACAGACATGAGCTACCACACCTGAGTAATTTTTTTTTTTGAGAGACAGGGACTCAGTATGTTATCCAGGCTGCTCTCAAGCTCATGGCCTCAAGTGATCCTCCCACCTCAGCCTCCCAAGTAGCTGGTACTGCAGGCATATACCATCATGTCCAGCTAATCTTTATTTCGCAGAGATGGGAGGCATCTCCATTCACTGTGCAAATTGTACAGAATAAATGCAGGAAAGTGTCCCAAAAAGCACCTCACAAGGTCAACTTGCAGCCACAGGACAAGACATCACAAGGCTGCATGCACCTGCCCAGGTGGAAAACCCATCACTGAGCTCTGAGCTGGAATTCTGCAGACTCGCAGCTCGCATGCGGGCCGTGCTGATACTAGAGGGTCTCCTGTCCTGGGGGCCAAGCCCTGTGCGTTCAGGAGTAGAACATGGAGTCCCAGGAGCACCAAGGCACAAATGCCGTTCCCAGGTTTCTAGTGTGGGGACAGAAATGCCAAAACCCACAGCTTCAGGCTCATCCAGGGCCATCCTGTCTGCAAAGCTGGCTGCAGAGGCACCATCCCGCCAGCCACTTTTGGGAGGACTTTGTGCTGACGGTGACTGGGCAAGAAAAGGGAATAGTGTCTTGTTGTTATTCTTCTGAGAGGCCACAGAGAGTGCTATGTGTGTGCGTGTGTGTGTGCATATGGGTGTGCACATCCATATGCACACACTCACACGCACACACACCCCTACTCTCATACGTGCACACACATGCATGCAAGCCCATGTGCACACACATGCTCTCACACCCATGCACACACGTGCACACATCCACACTCACACCCATGCATGCACACACGTGGGCACATCTATGTGTGCACACATGCACACACTCATGCACACACACCACCCACACCCACATAACCACATGCACACACACGCACATGCACACACACACGCATGTGCATGGTTCTGCCTGCAGGAGCTCAAGGAGCCCCACTGGCCCAGCCAGTGCCACGGCATATAACTCAGGGTTCAGCAGCGTCTTCCTCGCAAGACCGCTGATCAGGTTCACCTGAGGGTGAAAGGGCCGAGGCGCACCTGAAACACCTGCCTGCCCTGTTGTCCTTCCAGGGACTGTGATGGTGGTGGCGTAGAAAGGGCAGAGATGGCTCCCAGAAAAACCACCCTTAAAGGGGAACCAGAACAGTCAGGGAAAGCAGCTCAACCCAGCTCGCACATGTACAGGGAGGTAACACTGGCTTTCAGCTCAACATGGACTGGCGTGGAGGGAAGGCCGGGGACATGACTCTGATGGCAAAGGGAGAAGCAGACACGAAACACACAGGATGGCAGAGACGCTGAGAGGCAGGACAGCCATGCCCACAGGAGAGGATGCGGGCTCTTGGGCTTTGCCAACAAGTACAGTGTGTGTCTGTGCATACTCATGTTCATGTGCATGCATGCATTTGTGTGTGCAAATATTTACATGTGTGCACATGTGCATGCATGCGTTTGTGTGTACACATGTATGAGTGTGAGTATGCGTGTGCATTGCATCCCAAACTTCCATAATACCAACAACCCTCAGTTTGCCAGCCATGCAGGGAATGGGGAAGAGGTGGGGTGGCCGGCAGGCACCCAGATGTCTATGCGCACAGCCATGCAGGGTGGAGCCACTGACCTAGGATGGAGACCTTGCTAAGGAACTCCTCATACATCTTGCGTTTCCTCAGCGTGCTGCCCTGTTTGGGAGAAAGGGAAAACAGACAAGAAGGTGAATCTTCGTGCCTGAATTATTCTGATGTGTCCAGATTTCCCCAAATGACTGTCAACTTTTAAAGGAGACCCTCCAAGCATTCTGAGTCCCAACAGCCCTTAATGATCCGGAGGCTGTGTGAGCTGCCACAGTGCTCTATGTCCCCGGCCTCCCTCCTCCTTGGGGGGCTTCTGGAGAAGCTCTGTCATGGTTTCTAAGTGCCTTAGCCAGCAGCAGAGTTCCCCACCCAGTTGGGGCCAGTGGCAGGTCCACGCGGTGAGCACACTGCCAGCCAGAGCCTGAACCCGGATTTCTAGCCATGAAGGGGAGGGAGCTCCTAAACACATCTGGAGAAACTGAGGCCAACACAGAGACTCAAGAACATAATGCAAAAGAGAGAGAGTGTGGCTGACATCAGCTTAAAACCCTGGATCCAGCTATGCCTGAAGCTGAATCCTTCCCTGTTAAAGCCAACACTTGACTTCCCTCACCCCTGGGAAAAGCATACTGATTAATACAACACCAACAAACAGGGCCCCGTCAGAATTATGTGAATTCAAAATTAGAATTCATTCTAAAAACTAGGACTACAAATTTGAATTAGAAAAACACACCCCTTCATCGAGCACACATTCCAGCAAGCCGATGGGCCCCGGTGCAAACAGGAATGAGGCCCCTGCTCCAGGCAGTCGGCTCCAGCCTGGTGCGCAGAAAGCAGCCTGGGTCTCAGCCCCTCTCGGCCCTATGCCCAGGCCTTTGTACAGTGCACAAACTCCACAACTGTGCACAGCAGCCACATGATGGGTACAATTCAGCACCGCACACTCAGAAAATAGAGACATACAGTCCACTTGCACAGCAGCAAATCTGATTTTGCTAAAACACAAATGGCCTCATCTACTGACAGAGGCCACATGTTGGAGTAGGGTGAATGCCAGGGTTTGAGTCAGACCGAGAGGTGACATGTGCTAGTGACAAGGCTTTTCTGTGGCCCTAGATAAGTCCCCTGGGGTGTGGAGAGAGGAGGGAGGAGGGAACCTGCTGTGTTGAACGCCCACTCCAGGTCGGTGAGGGGGTTCTTGGGCATGCTGACCCACATCGATCTTGCAACAGATAACCCTGTGAGGGGAATGTGCTTTTGTCCTTATTTTCTGGAGGCAGAAACTGAGGCTCAGCAGGGCTGTGTGACTGCCCTACACAAGAACCATGGAACCAAGAAGGAAAACCCAGGCAGGGCTCTAAAAGCCCCAAAGCTGCCCCTGCCTCTCCACCTGTCAAATGATGACATAGTTTACTCCTCCCTGACATGCTACTTCACGGATTCCCATAATGCCCTGAGACAGAAAACCACAGTGAGCTGAGCAGGGTTTACCAGATGCCTCCCACCTGTGCTGACCAGGGACATGCAGACACAGTGGCATGTGCAGTTTCAGAACACGCCCCTCTCCTCTCCTCCTTCCTGCTCTGTGGCATGTGAAGATGATGGCTGGAGCTGCAGCAGCTATCCTGGGCCCTTGAGGAGCAACAGTAAAAGAGAGCCGGTTCCTGGTCCCCATGGAAAAAGGCACCCACTCTAGACAGACTCTTTCCTGGGCGTGAGAAACAGCGGCGTGGTTTAAGACACTGTTATTTTGACTATTTCCGTTATGTCTGGCATGGCAGCAGCCAGGACTCAACGATCCTCGCTCGCTTCCTGGTGTCCACACCCTGCGTGGTCTGTCCCACGATGAATAGCGCTGACCAATGCAACTAAGACCACAATGAATAGGGCTGACTGGGCTGACCGATGGAACTCCGAGGATGTTCAGGAAATGCATTTGAGATTTGCAAAGCCAGGTTGTAAAAGACACATTGGCTTCTGCCCTACTCTCTCCTGGATGGCTCAGCTGCAGAGACACTCAGAGGAGGAGCACTGCTGTCCTGCCACCCTCCAGCACGGTGGGGGGAACCTGCCACAGCAATCCTCCTCTGCCCATAAGACCTTCTGATCCCCATAGCCAAAGGAGAGTTCTAGGCCAGAGCCGTGCAGCTGGGCTGCTTCCTCCATGACCAACAGGAAATGTAACAAATGTGACTTTGTTGACAGAAGCCACTAAGCTTGAGGCGAATTCGTTATGCAGCCACAGCTAACTAATGCATCCAGCAAAACCTAATCCTAAGGGTTAAGATAGGCTAGGAGACCTAGGTTAGGACAGAAATCTATAAACTCTTCTGAGGCCTACAGCAGGCTGGCTAAACATTCCCCCGCCAGGGACCCTCCCAGCTGCCACAGTGCCTGGGGGCAATGGTGAAAGGACGGTCATTTATTTCACCTTCTAAGCAATGTATGTAGAAAGGAGAGGTCAGGAAGGAGAGATGGACCGGATGTGAGAAGCAAGACCCCTGACACTCAGAGGAGCCCCCCAAATAAATGCCTGTCAGTCTCCCCAGACCTTTTTCTCCTGAGGGGCGCTGTTCAGAGCATCTGCCCATCCACTCCAATCACTTATGAAAATGGAAATCACAATCAGACCCCCATGTGGTGTTTACCAAGCACCCTGGACAGGGGCAGGGGCTGTGCTCATCACATTTTCACAACTCAGAGAGCCAAGGAGGAGGAGAAAGCAGAGGAGGTGGGTGCTTCAGAGGACCATGACTGAAGCTACCCCACTGCCATGGCAACGTGGGGTCTGCCCAGGCCCCGCCTCCAGGGCCTGTGCCCACCCACTGCCCCTGTCCCATCTATCTGTGCCACCCACAATCAGATGGAAACTTGCTTGTGTCTCCTTTAAAAAGGGACCCCTTGAGCACAATGAAGGTTGCCTCACCACATGGGGAAATGAGGGGCCACCAGAGAGCCCCTTCTACAGCTGGGGCTGGGGGAGAGCAGCCCTGGGGACACAGGGTGAGCAGACAGGGGGCAGCCTGCAGCCCTCCCATGCAGCCCTCCTGGCTGGGATGGAGCAGGACTCCAGCTGCTGAGGGAGGAGGCCCTGCGGGAGTGGGGCAGAGGATGAAGGAAGAGAGATGGATCGCTGGGGAAGGAAAACAGCTCAAGGGGGAAGGGCTGAAGGAAAGGCACATGATGCTAAATGCCTGTCCCTGGAAAACTATGACAAAAATGCAAGCTCCAGTGAAATGGGGGAGGAACGGCGGACGTGCAAGTCCCAGAGCACAGCGGCGACTTCTGTGGGGCTCAGGCCAGGTTTTTCCACAGCTACTTATTCTGGACCCTGGTGGCGAGGCTGACCTTTCCCATGGGCACATGTCATTTCCGGTAGTGTGGCCTTCCCCACTCACTCCCAAGCTTCCCTCAATGTCCAGAAACAGACTCCTGGGCCAAACTTCCCACTCACAGAACAGATGACTGAGTCCCATGAAGGTGTGGCTTGAGCCCAATCTCCATGATGGGGATGAGGACCCTAATGACACCCACCCTCCCCTGCCTTCCAGAGCCTCAGCATGGAGGACAGAGTGGACAGTCCACTCAACTTGGACAAGTACAGGGTTCAATGTGTCACCTGCATCACTGAGCCTTGGTGAGAGGAAATCATAAAAATCCCTGCCTCACTGGGTCATTATGAGAAATGAGTCTCAACAAATGTTACATTGCTGCTAATGATGATGGTGATGTTGGTGAGGATAGTGTGAGTGGTGACGACAATGGTGGTGGTGATGGTGATGATGGTGATGGTGGTAAGGATGGTAGTGATGGTGGTGATGACAGTGAGCACAGTGACAGTGATGGTGATAGTGCTGATGGTGGTGATGATGACCGTGATGGTGGTGGGGTGGTAGTATTGAGGATGCTGATGTTGATAATGGTGGTGATGTGATAGTAATGGTGATGATGGTGTTGAAAATGATAGATGGTGATGATAATGATGGTGATGGTGATGAGAATGGTGATAGTGGTGATGATGGTGCTGATGGTGGTGCTGATGGTGGTGATGATGATGATGATGGCAAGAATGGTGGTGAGAATGGTGGTGATGATAATACTTTTGATGATGGTAAGGATGGTGATGGTGATGATATTGATAATGATGATGATGGTGATGGTGAGGATGGTGATAACAGTGATGATGATAGTGATAGTAATGATGGTGATCAGAGTGGCAATGATGATGGTGATAGTGATGATGGTGATGGTGATTATAGTGGTGATGATGATGGTGATGATGGTGGTGATAATGGTGATGATGGTGATGGTGATAATGGTGGTGATGGTGGTGATAATGGTGGTGGTGATGGTAATGATAATGGTAGTGATGTTGGCAATGATGATAGTGAGGGTAGTGGTGATGACAGCGATGGTGGTTATTATGGTGCTGGTGATGGTGAAGATGGATATAGAGATGATGATGGTGATAGTGATTATGGTAATGGTGATAATGGTGGTAATGACGGTTGTGATAAGAGCAGTGATGTTGGCCATGATGATAGTGATGGCAGCAGTGATAGCGATCGTGGTGATTATGGTGCTGATGATGGTGATGGTGATGATGGTGGTGACGGTGATGGTGATAATGGTGGTGATGATGGTGGTGACAGTGGTGATCGTGATAATAGTGGTGATGAAAGTGGTGATAGTGACGTTGGCAATGACGATAGTGATGGTGGTGATGATGGTGCTGGTGATGGTGATGCTGATGATAGTGATGGTGATAGTGATAATGGTGATGATAGTGGTGATGGTGATGTTGTCAATCATGATAGTGAGGGCAGTGGTGATGACAGTGATGGTAGTGATTATGGTGCTGATGGTGGTGGTGATGGTGATGCTGATGATAATGATCATTATGGTGATAATGGTGATGATGATGGTGATGTCAATGATGATAGTGAGGACAGTAGTGATGATAGTGATGGTAATTATGGTGCTGATGATGTGATGCCGATGATAGTGGTGGTGATGGTGATAATGGTGGCGATAGTGGTGATGGTGATGCTATCAATGATGATAGGGCAGTGGTGATGATAGTGATGGTGGTGGTGATGCCGATG